AAATGCTAATTTCAGACAATGGTTTGGTTGATCATGCAGCATTTTGGGTAAAAGGGAAATCTGATCATTTGATTTTCTGCAAAAATTATTCCTTCAGGTTTCTGCAAAACACTAATTCGCTTTGATTCTTTTTCACAGTGCTGGCACTTGCAGGCCAAATATCTACTGTAACAGCATGAGGAGAGAGGAGGAAGATGAAGGGGCTAATCCAGAGTAAACAGCAGGCTGTGAGAAGCCAGAACACTGCCGAACACACACACAGTACATTATTGTAAGTTCAAGCCCTCCCCGCTGCAGCTGCAGGCCAGCGTGACATTTACCAAAAACATTTCCCGAAAAACTCTTTTTATGTGCGAGACTGTAAAGGCCTTGCTCTTAATTGGCCAGTCAGGTTAAGTAAAGGCCACATGAAGTGAATTTGAACAAAGCAGCTGAAAGCTTGATCACTTAGCCCACTGTGGTCATTTAACTCCCCTTTTTTAAATTACATAAGCTAATTGCCTCAATCTCAGCTAATTCCATCCCTCACACAGAGCGTAGAGGGGGTGATAAACTGTACAGCAACAGATGGACTACAGTCTGTAACTGTACACCCATATAGTGCAGCTGTAAAGTGGGTGCTTCTAATGAAGTGGCCAGTTAGTGGACATACAAGGTGGGTGTTTCTGATCAAGTGCCCAGTCAGTGGAAGTACACGGTAGGTGTTTCTAATAAAGTGGCCAGTCAGTGGAAGTACAAGGTAGAAAAGTGGCCAGCAAGTGGATGTACAAGGTTAGTGTTTCTAATAAGGTGGCCAGTCAGTGGAAGTATAAGGTTGGTGTTTCTAATAAAGTGGCCAGAGAGTGGAAGTACAAGGTAGGTGTTCCTAATAAAGTGGCCAGTGAGTGGATGTAACAGGCTGGTGTTTCTAATAAAGTGGCCAGTTAGCAAAAGCACAAGGTAGGTGTTTCTAATAAAGTGGCAAGTGAGCGGAAGTACAATGTAGAGGCTTTTTATAAAGTGGGCACTGAGTGGACGTGCGAGGTAGGTGCTTTTAATGAAGTGGATGATGGTGTTTTGATGATTTATGGGGATTATTATGGTGTGAAACACCCACGGGATAGCTCCTTCAGGCTGAAGTGCTCCCGCTGGGCCTTTATTTGAAACAGCCATTATGGCACGTCAGTGGAGGTGTTATTACTATGACATAACACTCATTCTGAAATGTCATGTCATGACACACTTGTTGAGAGCACTACCGCTGCTTACATGTCAAGCGTTGACAATATGACGGTGCGGGAGAGTGACTGTGCCTGTAATTGTGCGTGTTTCCATCTTTCTCATGTATGTGTACGGAATTCCTACAGTGCTCTATTCAAACACATCATAATAACTTTCATTATAAACAATATTAACCTACACTGAGCGACACACTGAGTCAGAATAGCTATAACTGGTAAAGCAGAGCTATGTGAAATATCTAGAATGCCTAGAAATCTTTATGTGGCCCATTTTTTCTATATTTTATTTGCTTTTTGAAATTAAACAGTTTGATTCAGCATGTTAATGTTTCAAAATGTACCGTTCACTCCCGAGTCTATACAGCCCATATATGGAAAAAGTAAGTTGAGTTCACTACGGTTGTGATGTCATAACCATGAATACATTTACATATGACTGTCTTTTCAGCCTACAGCAGTTTAGCCCCGCCCATTCAGCCTACAGCGATTTAGTCCCGCCCATTCAGCCTACAGCAGTTTTTCCTCCACCCATTCAGCCTACAGCAGCTTAGCTCCACCCATCCAGCCTACAGCAGTTTAGCTCCACCCATTCAGCCTACAGCAGTTTGGCTCCCACCTCCAGCCTACAGCAGTTTAGCTCCACCCATCCAGCCTATAGCAGGTTAGCTCCACCCATCCAGCCTACAGCAGTTTGGCTCCCACCTCCAGCCTACAGCAGTTTAGCTCCACCCATCCAGCCTGTAGCAGGTTAGCTCCACCCATCCAGCCTACAGCAGTTTGGCTCCCACCTCCAGCCTACAGCAGCTTAGCTCCACCCATCCAGCCTCAAGCAGTTTAGCTCCACCCATCCAGCCTATAGCAGTTTGGCTCCCGCCTCCAGTCTCAAGCAGTTTAGCTCCACCCATTCAGCCTGCAGCAGTTTAGCACCTATTCACCTTACAGCACAACAATGTAAAATATGGGTTGATTTTTTTTGCACATTTAGTCCAATCAATTTAATATCAAGACAGAAAGTATAGTAAGGAAACTCATTAAAGCACATTTTGTCTCTCTCCTCCTTCCTCTTCTTCCTTTCCTCTCGACTGGATGTGACATATGCTAATTCTGACTTTCTTCCCAGAGTCCTTCCATCAGCACCCGATGAAATAACGTCCTCAGAGAAATACAGTTAGAGTCTCGTAATGAACACATAAATGCATTGGGGCCTTGAGTACTACTTCTCAGAAAGAGAGAGAGAGAGAAACAGAGAGAGAGAGAGCGGGAGAAACAGCGAGAAAGAGAGAGAGAGAGAAACACAGAGAGAGACTGTGTGCCCTTTGATCACATCATCACACTGTCTGAGTTTCACATTTAACAGATAAACAACAGCTCCTGAGTCTCCAGACGGGAAAACAAAAGAGTTTGTATTGTCTAGAAAGTGAATGAGTAAGAAAAGAGAGAGAGAGAGACTGAGGTTTAAGACTGGTACATGGTGGCCAAGCATGGTTTAAAAGACTCACAAAGGTTCCACACACACATCACTGAACACCTGTGAAGGTGCTAAAAGCAGATAACACAGCACATGTTACTGCCTCATCGCCTCCCCTCCGTGTGATTTCTGACGTTTGTGTGTATAAATGCATGTGTGTCTATGTGCCTGTTATTATCCCACCTCCCACATCCCACCAGCCCCAGGCACATATGCGAAGATGCAATCCATCATCTCCTTAAACATCAAGCAGAAATGAGTTCGTTCCTGATTTTCTAACAACACGGCAAACATGCAGCTTAGTACATTAACGTGCTGCCTTCACACACTATCAAAGCTACTGATCTAAAAGGTGCACATACTTCAAGCCTTAAATCAGAAGCAATTTTAGAACCCAGGCTGAGTTTCTGACCTCTTACAGACTTTTATCCTTTCATCAAGCCAGAGGACGCTTTCAGGAGCCAGTAGCCACGTTTACACGCTGCCTGATAATCCATTAATAATCCGACTAATAGTTCAATCGGAATAGAATACGTCTATGTAAACACCTCAGTCGGAACAGACTAGTCCCATTGAGGCCATTCAGAATACAGTTTCTATCCGATTGAACGAGGCGGGTAACCCTGTAAATAATCCGTTAAATAGAAGAATAATATCCGTGTAAACGCCTGTATCCGATTACATTCCCAATCTGAAAGTTTAGGTACGTTCTGATCATGTTCGTCACGTCATAGTGAAAGTTTATAACGTTTAACATGGCGGAGCAGAAACTGGTCTGCAGAGGAGACGAAGTTTATGCTCTGATCTTTAAAAGACGGCGGTGGGACGGACGTCCAGCTTACGTGTCTCAGAACACGACGTCTTCCTCTCGGCCTTCTTTAATAAGGACATGTGAAGGACGTTTTCCTGAGTCTGACATCATTTTAAAGTCATTAAAACCACAAGCACTGCTCACTGCTGCTCATCTCACTGTGACTGGACTCATGTGATGCTCGTTGTCATGGTAATGTCTACACTAAGTGGTTCTCTATGCCTGTGCGTCATTTTGGATCGGATTACTTGTAGCGAGCAAGTAAACAGAGATTTTCATCAGATTGTTGAGTAGAGTGAGAATAAACACCTCAGTCTTAATCTATAATCGGGATGTACTCAGTCAGATTGGCAAAGATCTTTGCATGTAAACGCAGCCATTGGTGGGTTTTGTAAGTTTACTTTTAAGGCTGTAACACTGAGGAATTTGGAGACCTCTTTGGTGAAACTGTGAAACTGCACGCACCGCGCGGAAGAACATTTTGTAACCTGGGTTGTGCTTCAGACACCTTTCAACAGAGCACGTTGAAAGAGTTCAGAGAGAACTCAAAACTTGGTGAGGGACGTGTTTTCTGAAGATGTGAGTGATTTATCTACTACTGTCATCATATCTTCTTCAGTGTAATGTTGCTTTCGCAGCATTTGAGACCTAAACATCAAGCCGGGCCTTCTTTTTGAGGCTGTGCATGTGGCGTTAATACGTGAAGACTGTGAAAATTATTTCAGGCTTTACCAGCCGACTCGCAGCAGCGCACGGACACCACATTTTAGCAGGGTTCCTGACTCAGTAATGCTATTTCTTTCAATTTAACCAAAAAATATCACTACTGACCAATATTTCAGACTCTGGAAGAGCAGAACGTTTAGGCAGTGCCTGGTTGCTGCGCTAAAATACCTGCATTTTATTCATTTTACTGCATTTGTAATCCAATAGAAATATATCGCCGCTGTGAAAACAAAACCTCGTATCTCCAAAGTGACAACTTTACACGGGGAAGGAAAAAACATACTTTACTTGTAATGTAAGTCAATAGAACCAGATTTTTTTTGGGGCCTTTTTTGGTCTACTCATCACGAAATTTACTCACAATATTAAGGGCTTTTTTATTAAGCATTTTTAAACTGTCAAAAACTGAAAAATGACAAAAATGAAGATAAGATGTTTTGTTCCAACAGCAGCAATATATTAGATTTCTCTGTAATACTCATTCCAGGTAGATAAAGTCCAAATTTCTACATCTAATAAATGTTTATGTATCAGCATTAGCCCACAGTTACCATATTTCCCAACCTATTTCCTTTTGCAAAGCCATAATTTCGAAGTCTCAGTGCTATGTAGTCAGACGCTTTGTTAGTTTAGCCTTTTTGGTACCTTGCTACATCACTTTATTTTGTATCTTCCTAACATCACAGATGTACGCGAACATCTATGTCCTAACTGATGTCTACTGAAAGAAACATGCATCCAGCGCGGTGTGATTTGTTTGAGAGTTATTACTCACCGCAGAAGGAGACGATGTGGCTGCTGTCTTCGTGAACGAACTTCCGTGTGACCGCTTCCTCCATAATCTGCTTTACCTGTGATGGACATACAGACACATATATGATAAAGTAATAAACTAAGTGCTTCATAGTGGTATACTGGATGTACAATGTCAGGAGACACTTAGAAAATTAGATTATTCCTTTCTTACTAGTAAAAAAACGTTTTGACTAGTCGCCACTACCATATTAAAAAAAGACCGTTCTGGACATCTGTGAAAAGTATTTTGTTAGTATCTTGCTAATAGGGGTTGGTTCAAGCGGCAAATGCTGTGATTTGAGGTGTGAGAAGAGTTTTTTGTTACATTTCAGTAGGTTTCAGTCTTAAGTACACAGAGGTACACAGACTGTCTGATGTAAATAAGCCTGTCAGAGCAAGATGAATATTCGCCGAACCAGGAGTTGCACTAAACAGTTTTGCATACAGCTTGCAGCGGAATTGGTTACATTTTGTGTAAAATTTCCACATGAATACTTTGGGCTTAATGTTCAGCAGAAAAATGTCTGAAAAATGTATGTTCTCTTGTCCTGCTTGTTTACTGTAGTTTTTACTGCCTCTGCATTTCAGGTCCTGCCTTCAACTAGTCAACTGCCGCCCACAGCAGCCACTACTGGATTTTTGGTCAACTACTCTATGCAACCCCTAGGTTAGAGTGGGTAACTCTCAAGGCCTTCTTGGACTTCAGAGAGAGAGGGGCTGAATGATTTCTGTGAAATTAAAAACAATATCAATCGCCAATCGCCTTTCAGCACGATCGGCCAATAGCCGATACTGATCAAGGGCGGGGCTGAACTGTTAAGGCCTATTTACACCAAGTGGGATTTTTTCAGATGAAAAAAACAATACAATTTTAACATAACAGGACCTTAACACCAAGTCTAAAGCATTTTTCTGTCTAGACACTGAAATTTATTTCTTTTAAGCACCACAACTGAAACGTACATATACTGGGTGCATCCCATTCTACAAAAAAGACAACATGAGGAGATTCACCGCCTCTTACAAGAGCTAGCTGAAGCTGCATAATGAGGCATTCTGCAGGTATTTCCGCAGAGGGGGAATTCAAGGCTCTGCTTTTGCTTGTTGCTCCTCTCATTAAAAACGAGCGAATAAACTCCAGGTAAACACAGTCGCTGTAGTGTACTCATCATCATTCACAGCCTTTCAGATCTCATCCGCCACATATTGTCTTTAACCTCATTTTTTAGTCAGCGTTTGTTTGTCGTATAAGCTTTTGTGCTCTACTACAAGAGTTATGCTGCCATCCTGACGTATGTTTGTTTGGGCTGCAACCATGAAAACAGAGCCTGATTTTAATGCATCCATACAACGCAGAAAATAGAGCAAGCTCAGATTAAAGTCCGTAAGTTTCAGACTTGGTGTGAAAGACTGCATTAATATACGTGTTCGTTTTCAAAAATTGATGCACATTTTTTCCGTTGTAAAAAGCAGGCTCAGTGTTAACAGGCCTTCAGTCCAGTAGCCAAAAATCAAAACGTAGGTATTTTCCCTCCCTTTTTGACTAAATTTTAACATTTATGGCCCGAATGAAGACCTCGCTCTAACAGTCATGGTTCTCCGCTGAGGGAGGTGGTATAGTAGCTTATGTGAAGTCAACACATCTAAAACAGTCGAGCGTCGTTGGCTGTGGCCACTGAAGCCCGCTACCAACCATCTGTACCAACGTCTGTGCCCACACACACACACACATGCTCCCGGCTCTCTGCCTCAGCTACGGAGGCGTCTGGCTGCGAGGGTGATTAACTCTCTGATTGGCCATCGGAGGGGGCTGCTGCTGATTGGCTGATTGTGGGGGCCGCTGGTAATTTCCTGTGGATGTGTGTTTTTCCTCGCTGGTACATTACACAAGCACAAAAGGTGCAAGATAGAGAGAGAGAGAGAGAGAGAGAGAGAGAGAGAGATAAAGAAAGAGCATGTGGGCTAAATTTGGACTATTTCACACCATAAATTTCACATAATTCTATTAAAAAATGACAATTTAACCTTATAAAACCATAAAATACTGGAGTCACAGATGGTTTCAGTACAGTAAGGTGGGTAATTCCTTATTTATAACTTATTCATAACAGTGACTACTTATTTTTAGTAGTCACTAATCAGGCCATAAGCATTTACTTACCTTATCCGTAAACATATATAACATATAATATGTACATTTTTACAGTGAGGGGAAAATATAAAGAAACCAAAACAGATCAGACTAACTAGCTAATGCTAACATTAAAGGCAGTGTGAATGCATTTTCCTTCCATTCCATGACATAGAAACATGGAGAGAGGGTCCCTAAGTGAGCTAAGCATTTCTCTTCTCTCTGATAGGTGGGCGTGGTGGGAGGGGGAGGTAAAAGTCATTACATCTTGCAAAGAAACAAGAATTTTGTCTTTTAAATGATACAATATGATAGATTGTGCTTAATATGATTAACAAATTCATTTTCGTGTCACATTAACTTTAACTGTGCATTTGCCAAATAAGCACAGACAGCAAATCCAAGCATTTGAATGTAGACTTCATGACGTCCTGACCTCATTCCAAGGACAAATGCTAGGGCAGTCAAAACAAAATAGGACATTCAAATATTCGCCACATCTTATGAAAAAATTCACATTCGAATTTAGGAAATGTCCATTCAAATGCATGTATATGTATGTATGTCATTGTCCACTTAGTTAGCAACATTTTTACAAATGGCAGCTACCAAATGCAAGCATATCGCTAACCATAAACAAACAAAACAACAACAAAACTGTTTGGGAACATTTGCATATATCCATTTTTTTAGCAACTCTTTGTAAATGATATGTTTATAAATTAAATATACTTCATAAACTATATGTAATGCTAACGGTCACGCTATATGTAATGTTAATGGTCACACGGTAACTGAAATCTACTTAGCATGGCATATTTTCTGAAAACCCAGTGCTTCAAATCTTTGTAGCATAGTACACTAATAATCTCCTAACATTTACTATGAGATTGGTAGTGTACTATGCTACAAGGATTTTGACATTGGCTCATCTGAAAATGTGCCATATTTATTAGGTATTGAAGTAAACTGCTAGTTTAGCTGCATGGTTAAGCTGCTACACAGCTTCTGCAGCCATTCGTGCAGTCTTTCACTTTCAATACAATCCCTATTTTGCCTCCCATCAACTTAGCATGACGCTAGAAAACACAGGCTAGGTGATGTAACAGAATTAGCGGTTAGCATTCTCCTCGAAGCATGTTGTGCTGCCCAGTGATGTTAGATTAGCAGCAATTTGAAAAGATGTGGTGGCAATTCACCCTAGCATTCACCCTCCTAGCTTGGTAGCAGACCTAGCTAGCAGGTGGGAAGTAAATTGGGGGGAAAATTGGTAAAAATCTAATTTTAAAAAAGAAGAACCTCTTTGAATTCACTTGTCTCAGTAGACTGTTTACAGGCTCATTCTTTCTGCTTCATTGGTGAGCAGAATTAGCAGACATCACACTCATCAAACAACACTGAACTGAATCTCATTTTATATAAAGGAAATAAGAAGAATCACTGCAAATTCCAAGCAATGCTTTCAAACTATAAGCTCTATTTGTTCAGTTGTAATTCTACTACTCTGCTCTCCCTGCTGTTCTTTCTTCACTGTAAAATGTTAGACCCATCCTTACGATCCCTACAGTACAACCCTGACATGACCTTTGATCCTGTGCACTCTTTAGGCCAGACTGTGGGAGTAAGTGGCTGTATCCTGGCATTTCCCAGCATGCCCTCCTCCATCAACCCCAAGATAAGGGTCGCTGGTGGCCTTAGTGTCCATTCTAACTCTGACATTTAAACATGTCCCACTGCTGAAACATCTACAGATACACCACGGAAGGCACTGTGGGCTGGTTTCAGGACGTAAATACATGCTAGTCATATGCTAACACTGATTCTAAATGGAGAATGACAGTGTACAGCATTATTAGTCCAACCCAAGATTAAATTCACTCACGTAAGCACTGAAATGTGTGAAGACCCAGTGCTAGTTCTCTACACAGATTAAAACTAGTCCTGGACTACAGCGTTTTCAATGGTGAATGAAACATCAGGATTTCTGTAAATGATGAGGGATGCGCCACGTTAACGGTCTTGAGGAGATCTGAGAAAACTGCTTTTTGAGCCTCACAACTCAAAGACTAAATCTATTATTCAGAGTAAAGTAGAGGGAATGAGTCACTGATGCTCATACTCTGATAATAGCACACAATAGGAACTGTAGTCCTCCGCTTTATGTACGCAAACAACTTTATATAGTCTCAGCTGAGGACAAGAGAGGCTGTGTAGGTGGGGAAGGCCATGGAGGTGAGACAGACTGACCGCACTCAGACGTGGAGAACATGAAAAGATCTGTGTCTGAAGCTGCGTCTCAATAAGAAAACGACAATATAGGGGACAAAAAAATACATTATGATACAGATACTGACATACACTACTTGGTCAAAAGCATGAGGACACCCCTCAGCCACACCCATTGCTAACAGATGTATAAAATCAAGCACATAGCCTTGCAATCTCCTTAAACAAACAGTGTCAGTAGAATGAGTCGTACTGAGCTCAGTGACTTTAGATGCGGCACTGTCATAAGATTCCACCTTTGCCAAAAGTCAGTTCATGAAATTTCTACCCTGCTAGATCTGCCCTGGTCAACTATAAGTGCTTTTATTGTGAAATGGAAGTAAGTGGTAGACCACGCAAACTTACAGAGCCTAACCTCTGTTGCATCACTCACTACAGAGCTCCAAACTGCCTTTGGAAACAACACCAGCTCAAGAACGGAACGTCGGGACCTTATGAAATTGGTTTCCATGGCCGAGCAGCCGCACACAAGACTAAGATCACTATACGCAACGCCAACCATCAGCTTGAGTAAGGCATGTCGCCACTAGACTCTGGAGCAGTGGAAAAGTGTTCTCTGGAGTGATGAATCACACTTCATTATCTGGCAGTCTGATGGGCGAATCTGGGTTTGGCGTTTGCTGCCTATTGGAATTCACA